GCTCCTTGCACTTGTGCGAAGTGTGCATAAAGCACTGCTCGGTCGATGTTTGTTATTAATTATTTTTTTTTCTCAGCGAGGCTAATTGCAATTTGTCGGAAACGGAATTCGAACAATTCATCGCGCAACTTTTCCCATTATCAAAATTTCATTTTCCTCTGTCTCTCCTGCCGCTTTTCGAGCCAAACGTGGCTTATCTCCGGAGCTCTCAGTTACATCTAGCCTATTTTGCATACCACGTGATTGTATTTTTTTTTCTCTATTTTTTTTTGGACAACTTGAAAATATACACGCGTGAAATCCGACAATCACGCAAGCGCGAGCTCGAATTTACGCGGCGTAAATTTTCGTTAAGTGAGCCTGCTGCAGAAAAGAAGAGAGACTGGCTACGCTTCGCGCGCTTTCGTTATTTATTGCCTTTCGGCTGGATCTTTATTATTTTCTCCACATACAACGAGATTTTTTTATGACTTTTTCTGCGCATGTATTAGCGACACATTGTTCTTTCATTTTTTTTTTTGTTTTTGCGGACTAGTTTTTTTAAAATAATACATTGCGTTTAGAAGTTACAAACAAAACTGTAGCACTAGCAGTATTTACGAAGTAGTGTGCAGTGATATTGTTTGAAATCATATACAGAATTAGCTTATCTAATAGTATGTAGATCATATATGTGTGCGCAAGTTACTATGTGGTATATTTTATATACTTATTTACCATTGCACACGTGTACATAATATACATAAGATTGTAATTAGATCTTATATTTACATTTTAGACTATACATTAATTCCTCATCTCTGAAGATAAAACATCGCTGTACTCGGTCGGCAACATCACACTGTGCGCACTCTGCCTAATGTACCCCCTAATAGCATAATGTACTATTACTACCGTTTGTCGTAAATTCATGTTGCATCACACAAGTATCAGTTAGCATTAAAAATTCATTCTAGGAATCCATAGATTTTTGCAGGTATTTTTTTAGTAACAAGTTAACAGAGATAAATGAGATGATTACAGCTGTGCACAAACAGCTCATGATGATTAGGTGTGGAGTAGACAATCGACACATATTGCTTCAGGGTGTCAATACCTGTTTCAAGAATGTTTTTGAGTATTTAACGTCAGACTTTGTAATCCTGCTTGCTTGGACGGAAGGAAACTGTGTATCTCGAATCACGATTTAAGCTTAATTTTAACATTCCTTTCAAATTCGCAAAGAGCAGAAGTTACAGCTGTAGGTCTGTAATTCGTAATAGTGGATTTTTAAATAAGGGGTAGGTATTTAATAAGGGCTATGAATTTTCCCAGTTAAAATGATATTAGCTTGTTTTGTATATTTTATTGCAACTGTCAACTAGTAACTCAAAAATTACTAATACATTTTGCTGAATGATCGAAAAAACAAAGATTCACATGCGCACTTTCGGCAGCAGCAGCAACAACGTCGGCGAAGTAGTGCAGCAGTAGTAATTTGTCTTTCCCAATTCAAAGGCGTTTCTTTGTGTCACGCACAAAGTGCAGCATTAACAGCATCGCTTTTGAAATAGACAGTTTAATGCGCGCGACTCGACTTGGCTTCTCTTCAATAAAACTTTTCCCTTCCCCGTTGTATATAAGCAACATTTCTATTTCTAATTAGTCAACTCGGATTGATACAATTTTAGAGAGAGGGGGCGTAGTCACGCAATCTTAATTAGCTACAGGTTCTACGAGGGTAGATCACGAGGGAAGTTGAAGACGGATGAATATTTTCTGATGAATGGCAGTTCATTAATTTTTTCGAGTGAAAAAATATGTCTTTGTTAACTTTGTAAAGAGGCGAAGTATTTTCTCGACTGTTTAACAAGAATTATAGACCAACAACTAAAATGGAATAAAAGCGTCAAACAAGAAAACACACAGAGCGTCTGTCGGTGCAAGGAGAACAAAGCACAAATCAATGAGCGACAAGTGGAAAGCCTCTGCTCGCAACGGGTGGTAAAGAGAGACAGAGAGACAGACATGCAGACAGAGAGAGAGAGAGAGAGGAGAGAGAGAGAGAGAGAGAGAGGAGAGAGAGAGATGAGAGGAGAGAGAGAGAGGAGAGAGAGAGAGAGAGAGAGAGAGAGAGAGAGAGAGAGAGAGAGAGAGAGAGAGAGAGAGAGAGAGGAGAGAGAGAGAGAGAGAGAGAGAGAGAGAGAGGAACGAATTGAGATTAATTATAATAGAGTGAGAATAAAATACAGAAGCGCGAGTTGGAGAAAAGTAACAGGGCGCGGAGATCAACTTGTCGATAAATTAATTGTGAGCGGCTACATTTGAATTTACAACTCGCTTTTTTCCGGTTTTTTTTTCTTTTATTCTTAAAAAAGAGAGAAGAATTTACATCGAAATTGCATTGGTGAAATCGAGCGTCGTCGTCAGCATAATCTGGGGAAAATGACTTTTCTCCTGCCCGTTGAAACATTCATGAGTGCAACGCTGCTGCCTGGTGCTCGGCAGACGAGTTTTTCGCATCACGTTATATCGCCGACCGTCGAGCTTTGGCAGCTCGATGATAGTTGTGTTTGCTCTTGGCTACTTCGCTGCGTAGCTCGCTTGCGATCGTTCTGAAAAGTCGACATTTTTTTTTTCGGTCTGAGATTTATTCACGTAGTTGGGAAAGTTTGCCACGTGCTTGACGGCAAAATAAAAAAAAGTATCAACGCGTCGATAAATCGAAACGTGACGAAGCAGATAGCAATCCATCAAGATATAATTTAAAAGAACCTCGCTATTATATCGCTCTCGCGCGCAGATATAAAAGTTTTTTGTAAATATACAAGGGTCCCTCGCCTTGCGGAGAAGTATACGTATAAACTCCGAAAGTTTTGCTCGGCGCGCGGTAGCGCTTTGCAATTTCAGTTTACAAGTTTATGTAGAATTCTTGAAATGATTTGTATCTTTTTTTTATCCAGGCTGATATTGTTAACTCAAGCACCAATTTCAAAATTCGCAAAGTTTAAATTAGAAACGTTGTCCTTTTGGAAAGTGCTTTAAATGAGAACAATTATAGTCTTCGGTATCTTTGCAATCTTAAGGATATTTTTAGTCATGGAGTTCTAGCTAATGATATTGTTATCTCGATGGCGTTGTTTTATCAGTGCGATCCATTTTCTACGAAGAGGTATTAACAAAGGAGAAAAGAAAATTTTTCTTTCTATTTCCTGTTTATTTTTTGTGAATAAGATCGGTTACTGAATAATTTCAAATATCCAATTTTCAAGAGACTTATAAGATCGACTTAAACGTTGAGCTACTGCTTTGAAAAATAGATGTAGTTCTTGCATCTGTAGATAGATGAAGTAAAGTTTGCTTCAAAAGAATATAAAGTACGAAAAATAGTTATTTAAATGTAATTAAAAAAATTATGTAAATGTAACAATGGAAAAATATCATTTTCTTTGCTGTTTAATTTGAAATATTTACGCATACGTGACTTTGACGACTTGATTATTTTTTTTCTTATGTTTTTCTTGTTTCCAACCTCAAACTTTAAAAGTTTATAATTAATTGTTTTTTCAATAACATATCTTTTCTCCAAGCTCGATCACGAAAAGTAAAAAAGGCACAAAATCACTTTTACCTCCATCACATTTCCGTAACCATTTTTCAAACTTCATATTTCCTTTTCTCCCTTCGACGATAACGACATTCACGCGTCATTTTTGCGTATCGTACAGACAACCATGTCAATCTCATTACAGCCTACACATCCTGCACACGCACCTAAGTTTCTCCTCCATCGACTCCATGCTAGCCTCAAGGTACTTGGACTCTTCTTCGTATGCTTCGCACCTCACTTTCACTATCCTTAGCTTCGACATCGCATCGTCTCTCTCACGCTTGACTCGCTGTAACATGGCCTCTAATGTCTTCTTTTCCTCCGACTTTTCCATCATCACACTGCTCTCCGAATCCTGTACATGAGACACGATCAAATAGAATTTTTCTACGTTGTAGTTGGGATTAAACGATTTGTCTTTTTTATTGAATACGAAATATCTGCGTATATATTGAAGCTGATGGATTGAGTTTGCGATGAGGTTACCAATGATGAACGCGAATATAATTGTATCCGATGTACTTTAGTATGATACGGATGTTTGGAAAAAAAAACGTTTCTTTTTCTTTACTTTTGGGATTGGCTGAGGTTAATTTGGAAATCGCTGTACGATCGAAAATTGGAATTTGGGTTCAATCAAAGTTTGAAATAAAATGTTAAAACGAATTTATAAAGTTAACAGTTAGATATGAGAAAAAGCAAAAGTATACCTTACATGAAAGTTTCTCTTCGTCGGCGTCATCCGCATCTTCCAAACTACTATCACGACTGAGTTCCTTGATTTCATTAGTGCAAGTAGACGAGTCTCGTCTCAAACTCGTCTTCTCGACAAACTGAATCATCGAAGTGTCCTCGTAATTTATGGTATTGAAACATTTCTCGTCATCTATTAATTTTTCATTTGCCTCCTTAACCTGATTTCGCAATTGCTGCAATAGCGATTTTGCATTCAACACATACAATAAACATTATCAAGCTCGAGCTCTCGAGTCTTTATCTTGTCGTGCGCGCAAATCTAATCTTATCGCGATAAGGCGATAGGTATATCGAAACAGAAATCTAACTCACGGAGACGCCCTCTAAATTCCGCATCATACTCAGAGCCGTGAAATTGCTCAGCTCGGCGATGCTTGGATACGCCAACGTCGAATTCGTATCGTCGTCTTCTCCGTTTTTTCGAGTGTCTTCGTCGTCATCGTCGTTGTCGTCAAGTTTTTCCGCATCAGCGGATGTAGCTGCAAATTTGTGAAAGTGGAATTTTTGTGCCTGTTTGATTCGATGGAGAGGTTATTTTGCTGGATTATAGGTAACTTTTGATCACATTCTCATAGAAATATTATAACGTTTCGATTGTTATTTACAAACTTACGGGTTGGCTTAGCATCGGCGTTTATTTTTTCTCTCGACCAATTGACAAATTTTTTACTCTTTGGTTTCGAGTCCCTATAATCTTTTTTCGATAGTGAAATTTCACTCGAACTGTGGCTAGTTGATAATTTTTGACCCATAACCTTTTCTAAGAATTTTCGCACAATTCGTCGTGTAAATCAATTCACTCACATGACACCAAAATTGTTATTTTTTATGAGGTTTCTTATCTAAATTGTAGTTTTTTATTAATCAGTGTTAGCTCACTTCTTCACAATTGAAATATTCGTCACTAAAAATTTTATCGATTCTCGCACAAAAATACGTATACAAAATACTCAACTGAAGTTCGCTTCTGTCACGCAAACACAACAAACTTTATCTCAGGCTTGAAGATAAGGCTATAAAAGACAAGAAGGTGATGCATCCATTTGAACATTCATTCTGAGGAGAAAAAAAAACAGTCGCGTTAAAGAAGGAAAAAAATGTATATTAAGCCGAGCAATTCTGTTAATGGAAAACCTTTCAAAACGACACGGACATGCAAAAGAACAGAGAGAAACAAAGGCTTCGGGGTATCGAGCGAATGACCGCGAAGTGCTTTTGTTGGGAGTAACTATCTCTCTACCTGCGTTCTGTCAATTTTTTGGTGCTCGAATTTCATTTGGTGAAACTCAAATCTCGGGAGTTGCAACGCAAAAAGTTTTTCATTTATGGCAGTTTTAGTGTTGCACAAGGGAGGAAGAGAAGGCTGATAAGTTTGTTTGAACTAAGTAATTTGCTTGATTGGAGCTGGGTGTTTTGCTAATTAGAAGAGAGTGTGCCACTGAAATTGAAGTGTGAGATTCATTAGTCAAATGGTCGAGAATTGTCAAAGTTTTATTCAATTAGTTTTGATACAATTAATCCCCTTTATTTCTCTCTTTTACAGGTAAGTCGACAATTTTCTGTTAGTGTCCAGTTCAGGTTCCTAATGAGTATAAATAAAATAAAAATTTGATAATAATAGTAGTTTCAAAAACTTTCGAGCTAATTTCCGTCCCTCGAGAAAATCCCTACCAACGCCGTAAATGCATACTTGATACTAAACTTGCAGAATTGATAACTCTCACTTCAGAGCTTTATGAAACATTGAGTAGACGCCTAAAGGAGGCAACAGAGCGCGTTAAGTATACGGTCGTTATAAGTCAAGACGCGCGGGAGGACCCCAAGCTTGTTGTTACGTTCATAGGAGCTTTCACTGTCAACGAATATTTCAGTTCTCTACTTCAATTTATCGCCTAAAGTTTTCGTTAATGCTATTGATAGCTCTCTTAATTTCTAACAGATTCTTTGGACAATTGGTGGCTCTTTTCGGAATTCTTGAAATTTTGTGGAAAAAAAGTAAACAAACTAAACATGTCGTTGTGTGACAAATGATAAATGTCATTTAACTACAGAAAGAAAATTAGGAGCCTCACTGCCCTTTGTACGCAGCCATGCACGCTCATAAGCTCATCATCTACCAAAGAATTTTTTTGGAAGCACGTGACAAGACTAAGAATAATCATTTGAGATCCCAGAACTTTTAATTGAAAAACTTTGAGCAAATAAAATACAATATATAAAAAAATGCTTGACAATAAAACGTTTTGTATATATATCTTTTAGACGTTGAAAAGGTTAATTATCTAACCCAATTATCTACAGATAGAAAGAGAGAAAGAGAGAGGGATAGAGAGAGGGAAAGAGGGATAGAGGGAGAGAGAGACAGAGAAGTAGGAAGAAGAGAGGGAAACGGTTTTGTAATTGAATCTCCGTTTTATATGATCTTACAACGACGTAATCAATCTTCCTTCTCCCTTCTCCCTTTTTTTTTCTTCTTCTTCCTCTTCACTGCCGGTAAATGGCATTGGAATAATACGGGCGCGGACGTGAACGTTTATACACTCTATCCGCTTTTCATGTAATTTTTGCTCTAGTCTGTTATTTTTAAAGCTACTGTTAAGAAAAGTTTTATTATCACGAACGATTCAATTAGCATTCAAATGAATGTTAACGAATTCCTATCGCCATCTATCAACACGTAACAATCACAATACAAAGCAACAGCAGTCGGAAATTTCCCGACGTCAAAAGTTTACCCCGGCGACTGAAGTTTCCGCCTTGGCACGCATGTGTCTATATAAAACGCGTAATATTGCAAATGTAAATTATCCCGCGGCAACGTCGTTGCTTGCTACGTGAATTGCACGTAATTCATAAAATAGTTTTATTTGCTACCATCTCCACTATCGCTAGTTGCTTTCATTACGGAGATGGTGATTTTCATATGCGCGACGCCTCTTTCCAATGCAGCAAGGTACGTTGAACTTTTCTTTTCGGCTGCACCGTTTTTTTCTCTCCGTCTTTTGTGTATGACTCGCTTACCGACCGATACAGAACTGTAATCTTCGTTTTTCATTCCGATGAGGACGTCCAAGCACGGAGATGAGGAATCTTAATCAGCGATACACATGGATCGAACAAAATACGCTGGGTTCGCAATAAAACGCCGCGCGTACGCGCGCCAAGAGCTTTACAACTGGCGATTCGTTGGCCGAGCTTAATCAAGCGAAAACACGTATGAATAATAATTTTTATTTTTATTTACATTTAGATTTTTTTTTCATATATATTAATTATATTATCAATTTTCCTTATTTTAATAATATATTTTGTAAGATCAATGGTAAACAAATTTTTAGATTATTATTATTTGGTTTAATAGATTGAATTATTTTATTTATTATTTATTTTTTACGACATCTTTGTCGATTAATAATTAACCCTTTGACTGTGACGCGCTGTTGGATGAATCCATCTATATGGGCGGCGCGATTTTCGCTTGTCAGTCGCTGCGACCAGTGACACTGACAGTGACCAAAACAGTACCCGAAAATTTGATGCCATTCTTAGGGTTTAAAAAATAATGGCAAAAAAATTAAAAATAGAGGGCTTATATATAAGCTTTTCGTATAAATTGATGGATTTGTGAGGGAGCAGATATACGCTTTTAGCAGTCAAAGGGTTAAATACAAGTCTCTTGCCGCTTTCATGAAAAAATAGATTACCAAGGTGTCAGTATTGTCGAACGCGCCAACGCTTAATTAACAATTGGAATCGATGTCTGCGCGTTATTTCGACGGCACGAACAGCCGGTCAACACTCCAAAGCATCTCTCGGGGCGTGCGTGTCATGAAAATGCAGCGCCACGAAGAAACGACGGTTCGACGCGGAAAAATAGGCGCGCGTCGTTGCGGGATGTGTCCTATTGACTGGGGCACGTAGCGAGAGAGAGAGAGAGAGAGAGAGAGAGAGAGAGAGAGAGAGCACGCGCGCGTGGGTGGCACGATGATAGATCGCAGCAGCGTGGTTAAAAAAGCGTCGAGTTCGTTGGAAGCGATGGAAAAAGTGCGTGAAAATTCCAATATGCGGGTGGCTGTTGCGCTAAAAATAGTTTTCCCTTTTTCCGGATTTCACGCTCGAATCCGCGCACCGCTGTGCGAAATACGCCCCCTAAGTCGTAGAATTAAGCGCGTATGCGTGCCGCAGAGACAGGAAATCTCATTACGGAAAATCTGTTGAAAGCTGCGGAGAAAGAGCACAGCTGATTCAAGTGTCAGATCAAAGCGATGTATATTTAAAGGGGTACATGGCGCTGTTGCAAGAGGGACTAGGTGACGTCGAGTTTTTCCATGGGACGACCCGTCTTCCTAAATACGTAACATACGTTCAAAGTATTCTTGTCAAAGGAACCACCATTCTTTGGTGAAAAACTCTGGTTGGATAAGTTTTTCTTATTTACACCTCGTCAAAAAAAACGTAATTAAACGAATGTTGCTTAACAAAATAGCGATGCAGAAGCTTCTTGGGAGAACATCAACAATCGAGCCTTGATTAACGCGAAGCAAATTGACAATCGCGATCCTCACTATTAAACTTTTCCTCTTTCGCGATGCACGTTCAAGTTAGAAACATTCCCGAAGGCACAGCGCTAATTACATCGCAACAAATCACTCAATCTAGCGCTGCCTCCAAAGGTTCCTCCTCGCTCTCAAATATAGCCGTTGCCATTCAGGCATCACGAGCAACAAGATCACACGCTCTGTATACGTGTGTGCGCGCGCGCGCGTCGACGAGAATAGTAGGCGGCGCTGTGGGCGAAGTTGTGCCGGTCGCTTGCACCATCATCTCCGTGCCGCATAGTCAGTCGATGCGCGAACATCGTACGGCCACATTACTGCGTCCGTCAGTTTCTCGTGCGTCATCATTTTGTGATTATGTCAGTGAAGTTAGAAGTATTTCTATAGACAGAGACAGAAAGAGCATTTATTGATTTTCGTCAAGGTCAAAGTGAAAGTCGCAATTTTGGAGAAGCCGCCACTACCTAAACATTGCCAGAAAGGTATTTCTGTCTTATTGTTCTTCTCTTACTGAATTTGGAATTTTTGAGATACTTGGTATTCGAGAGGAGTTTCTGTTTTGGCACACAAATGGTTTGGCTCGGTTGTGAAAGAATTTCAGAGACTTATTTATTCAAATGAAATTGTATTCGCGGATGACTATACCTACTTACGAAAAATGTATTATTTCTGGATTTAATTATAATTGTCGCTCGTTCTCAAAAATTCTTTATTTGTATAAAAACACACAAGCTTACATTACAACACTCAGTTTCAATTCAATCAAGCTTCCAACTGACCAAGCAAATAATTATCAATCAACTGAAAGAAAAGAAAACCACACGTTAAGATACAAACAAAACACACGGTTACTTTTGTCAAACGTTCTTCTCACGCTCCAAGCGTAATTGTCAACCTAACATACCGACGGTATTATACAATCAAATCGTAGTGTAATCCAATCAAACAGAAAAAATGCTATATCTGGTTCTTATAACTGAAAGTTTTTAATAATGCTGCAAGCTTTTTTTTATTATTTGCCAAAAAGTCGGATGAGTCATCGTTTTGGCTAGTCTTCGTGACAAACAGGCACTTGTGTGTCTCTCTCTTTATTTTACGTTAATATGGCTAAGGGTTAGTTTTGTTTTCTAAAAAGTTTGACGATTCATTTACCTTGATATTTTTTTCATTTAATCGTCGTAGATCAGATCTTAAATCTATTGGAAACATTGTGTTGCAAATATTTGTAAAAAAAAGAAGTTTTAAATAATTGGGTGATTTTTATTATTTTTCGTATTCAGGTTCGAAACAAATTAAGAATTGTAAATATTATACAATTTCGTATGGCAATCGATCTTTTACTTTTTTACCGATAAGTTATCATTCTTCCTTACACAACTCAAGTTATTCAATAGATAATTGTTATGCATTTCTTAGCATCAGCTGTAACATTCCTAACTTAAATTTAAATATGAATTAACTTGTTATATTCCACAAAACCAATCGGTATCTTCATAATTAACTTTCAATAAGTCAACTTTTGGCGATCTCTGTCCTAATACCGACTTCGCAAATAAAAGAAAAAACCGAAACATAACTACTTTCGAGCGTGAAGGATTTTGGTCGCCTTGCAGGCCACCAAAAAAGATGCAAATTTCGCGCTCGATAAATAAAACAAAAGATAAGAAAAAAAGGAGAGTCACTAAAAATAGCATTTGCAAACGGTAAACCGACCACGAAGGAAATGTTCGCATACTGGATGAGATCAGCTTCTTTCGGTTACTGCAGCATATGTATAAGTGGACGGTTTAAAGGTCGAGTGTGTTCACGTGCCCGCATCTATGTATATGTTGATTTTCTTGTTATGATCATTGTTTGAATAAGTTGTACGCGTTATCTCGTCGTTTAAACTTCGAACAGCAGTAGATAAAGTTATATTAGTTTTCCCTTAGGAGCGTCCTTGTATCTAATCTGTGCGTGAATATGGGGAGCAGTTTGTCCCGAGACGGTGGAAATTAATAAACTTCAAGAGGTCAGACGTCCATGCTAGATACATATGATGAATGGTTATACGGTGCGTGCTCCGTTGTTGCCTTCCAGAGGTGACGGCTAATTTTCTTTTCGCTTGTTTCATTGTTGTTCTGTTTTCTTGTTTTTTCTGTTTTTTTTTTTATCCGCAGATGGTAATTGTTTTTTCTCTTGGTTCTCGTGAAAACGGATAGTCTTTGAAACCAGCTCTACGTAACAGCAAAAAAACTTCTAGAAGAAAAAAAAATTCGATACTATATGTATCCGAAATCAATACATCTGTGTTCTCACACACGCGCGCGCGCGCGTTGCTCTACGCCCACAAACCATATAAATTTGAGAAAACCGCGGGGAGCCATAAAAGTATCTCGCCATCTCGAAACTGACCTTTACCGAGATGACCTCGCACATCTCTCGCCGCCAAGAAAACGACATTTATGGTCTTGAAAAGGCAAGCTATAACAAAACGTACATTGAATCGGTAGTCAAGGCAAGTTTTGTCGTAAAGCACGCATCATACCAAGTGAGTTGTACAAACAGCACAATATATATACAGGAGCAGGGCGTCGTTGTACAGCCAGTTAATTAGGTTTCCCTCGGCGTAGTCCGCAAAAGTGATCGTCGATGGGCATCACGCGACTATACGTGACTTAGCTTAGCGTCTTTCTCGTTTTGCGTCTTCCTTGCTGCGCGACGCGCATGCAAATGCAACGCTTGTGACGTACGGCTTCGAGTTTGGCAAGGATACGATTGTGTTCGGGGCGGCCGTCGTTCGTCGGGGAGAACTGAATTACAGTGGCTTGCACATAAAAATCGCAAGGTGCGCCAGGTTGCATTCGAGTAAAATGGGACGCGTGAGCACGGCACTTTCCATCGCCAACGTCTAGCGGCGATCTAACGCCTCGCCCGTTTCTCACGATCTGCAGTGGTTTTATCTCGCCATGAGACTTCGTGGGAGTATTTGACCAGGCACTATTAGCACCGTAATTTCCACTTCAAATGCTTTAAAACACTTGACATTCATCCGTGATTGTAACTCGTACATTTCTGTTTTTGTTCACGTTCGAAATATAGTCACGAACAATACAATACATCGCATGATTCACGAGAGGTATAGTATACAACAGCGCGAAATAATACGTGAGTCAGAGAAGCGCGACACGATATTATATACATACGACACGATTTAACTGCATGCAATGTCAAGCGCGATTGTATATATTTTTACCGCGCCGCCAGCAGCAGGTATGTCCCCGGAATGAAGCTTCTATTTATATACATCTTAAATCCACTCGAACTACTGCTGTATATTCGCGCTCACCAAAAGGAGAGAGAGAAAAAAAAAGAAAATTGTGTTGTGCACTTGCACTTATGAGAAATTCTCGGCGCACGTCGCATCTTCCGTCGTCTGCCCTCGCATTTTTCACCCCATTACGGCGAGGCATAAAGATTACAATGGCTTTCTTAGGCTTTCTTATAAGCTGCGCCGAAACGGAATGCAGAATCGGGAATTCCGTGATGAAAGTTTTATCATAACACAATCGACACATTCCGCAGGCGAGCGTACGTTGACACAAATTTGCGCTCAAGTGGATGCGGCTGGACGATTCTTTTTTCCTTCCTTTCCTTCGAACGATTCGAAGGAATGGTTCCTTATCGATGATGCGTCAAGGCTGATGAAAGATTAATGGTAACTTTCTTCCTAAGAAACATAAACATTTTCCTGCCTTTCGCGCTCTCTAACTATTTGCGGCTGGCGCGGGTCAATTTGTCGCGAGTGGACGTGGGAGGCGTCATTATGCTCGTGGATATTAACGTATCTGTGTCGTGCGACAATCGATATTTGTAATGTAATGTTTGGCGCGTATATTGAATGACCGCTTGTTATATAGGCATTTGCCTTTGCATAGGCGACAAACAAGTTACACTCGTTCATTACTAAAATTTTTAGATATGCAATGTCTAACGAAAAGACTTAATTTTATTATTTCTATGTAAATAATACACTTAAGGTGCCGATGTAAGCCGCGTTTCAATGCGCTCAGAAAAAAAAATCGTATTCTAAGAATCTGTCACGATTGATCCTTTGATAAGTACAGCGCCAAAAGAGAAAAAACGAAATATTCCACGCTCCGAAAAACTCGGAAAAACTAATGATGCATGCACGACTAGGCTAGCGCGCACACTCAAACACACAGACGCACACACGTACAGGCTGTATTCAGTGCCGGAAATAGATTTTTATTTTAGGGAAAGTGCGCGCCGCACGAGAGCAGCCTATAAGGGGTCTTTTTTAGGGCGCCAACGAAAGTTGCACGCTGAAGCACATGTTTCGTCAATCGTCGGCACGACGTATACGCACGCGCGCGGCCGCGTCCGCATCGATCTCTCGCCGAAAGACTCTTTCGCAGCGAAGCGGACGAAAGAGAGAAGCAGCGAAATCGCTCGCGAGGTGCAGAAAGGCGTCTTCGTCGGAGAGGATCGATGGGCCGCGCGATGAAACGGGGAAATTTTTCGGCGTCGATAAAGTGGCTGCGCGAAAGGGAAGCCCGGCACTCGCGTCGACGTGCTTATCCGCGTGCGCTCGATTTGCTCTTTTTGGAAAGACGTTCTCTTGCCGCTTGCGCGCCGGACAGAAAATTTCGATCGATTAATCAGTAAATAAGATAACGGCTTGAGCCACGTTGCACACGCGCGCTGTGACATTGAACGTTTGGTAAGCTAAACCTCGTTCCGAGCAGATCTCGAGAGTCTGAAACAAGGATAAGGAACAAAAATTCGTGTTCGCGGCAAAAACAAAAATTCGAAATTGAAAGTTGTAGCTTTGGATTTTAGCACAAAATTACATCGTTTTTCTGCCACTTTTATACTCACCGATCAACTTCTCAATCAATGTTTCACAGTCTGTTTCAATAATCAGCGTTTGATAGAGTACGAAATCGTCGGCGCGCTGTAAATAGTGGGAAAAGCTGTTAGCAAACCATATTGTCATTCGCGACCTCGACATTGACATTCCAAGACTTGTTCGTCCGATGAAGGTCATTGATTTGTCACACGCATCATATGGCACTACATACGGAATCGACCAATGCTTTCGATTACGATCTCTATATTTATTACTGGACTTTCAATCTTCCTACATAAAACGGTACATTACCTAACTAGTGCGGGAAAGTAGATCCTCGTCTCGTGCGAGGTTGACGTCCGATTGAAGCGAAGGTGAAAATGCACATGAGATAAACCTGTTAAGTATGGTATGTTTCAAAATAACGCATGGCAAGAGTCAATGACAAAGGTGCGGCTAGTCATACTTTCCACGTGGCACGTCGAAATAGTACATTACGAGACAAGTACAGAAAAGTAGCTTCTTATCTCGTGTGGCGTTTACGCCCGAGTGGAGCGAGGGTGAAAAAGCACACCAGACGAGAAACTCTTTCCCGAACATGTGTTGTACCGTATTTTTCGACACGACGTG